GGGCAGGGGTCTCTATGTATACAGATGGTGGGGAGGGGTCTCTTTAGGGAGCAGCCGGGCAGGGGTCTCTATACACTTGGATAGTGTAGGTGGGGGCTTTATTTGGGGGCTGCTCTCCCCCTTGCACTGGGCAGGGGTCTCTATGTATACAGATGGTGGGGAGGGGTCTCTTTAGGGAGCAGCCGGGCAGGGGTCTCTATACACTTGGATAGTGTAGAGGGCGCTTTATTGGGGGGCTGGTCTCCCCCTTGCACTGGGCAGGGGTCTCTATGTATACAGATGGTGGGGAGGGGTCTCTTTAGGGAGCAGCCGGGCAGGGGTCTCTATACACTTGGATAGTGTAGAGGGCGCTTTATTGGGGGGCTGGTCTCCCCCTTGCACTGGGCAGGGGTCTCTAGGTATATAGATGGTGGGGAGGGGGCTCTTTAGGGAGCAGCCGGGCAAGGGTCTCTATATACTTGGATAGTGTAGGGGGCGCTTTATTGGAGGGCTGGTCTCCCCCTTGCACTGGGCAGGGGTCTCTAGGTATATAGATGGTGGGGAGGGGGTCTCTTTAGGGGGCAGCTGGGCAGGGATCTCTGTGCACTTGGATGGTGGGGAGGGGGTGCTTTATGAGGGGTTGGTTTCCCTCTTGCTGAGCAGGGGGTCACGATGCAGGGGTCTCAGATACTGGGGGGCTCTGAGTGGGGCAGCTGGTCTCCCTCCACAGCTGGGCAGGGGCTCCGTATTCCCTCATGTTGGTGAGGGGGGGGAGCGTTGCTTTTGGGGGAGGGTCGCCTTGTGGCTTCTTGGGGGGGGGCATCTGTGCCGAGGATCTCTGGCTGCGGAACTGGCTTGCCGGCTGCCACAGTTGAGAGTCCAACTTCTTTCAGTTCCTGGCCATCTATTTTGGGACTGTGGCCATCTGCCTTGCCCTCTTGCCCCGTCTCCACAGAGGGTGCCCAGGGGCTCTGCAGGGTCCCATCTGGGTCAGTCACCGGGACCAGAGGTGGTTTCGGGTTCGGATTCCAGCACAAAACCCTCCGAAAGCTCAGAAGACTGACCCACAATGGACCCTGCGACATTGTCCTGGGGCACGTAGATTCGCCTTCATTCGTGGGCGCTTTGCCTGTATCCAGAGCGGGCGCTGCCCACGTAGTTTCCTGGATAGCTGCTTGCAAAAAGGCTGTGCGGCTGGTTTGAACCCTTCAATGTATTCCCAGTTCTTTCCATGGCCCGAGTCTTTGCATCTACCCTGTGTAGATTCCCTCCCAATGGGGCAAAGCTTTGCGTTGCCACCTGCAGCCGCATTGGGCACAGGCCAGGGGCCCCGAGATCGTCTCCTGATATTCTGATCCCTCCCTCGGGGGCGGTGGATCCGGCTCCTGAAGCAACCAGCCAGCCCGCAATCCTTTCTACCGGTCGGTTGGCTGTGGGTGGATCTGAGTTACATTCTTGTCTTGCGCCCAGATGGCACAGCGACGGAGCTGGTGTCTAGCCATCATCCCTGACTCTTTCAGGCAGGGCTTTCTGCCCGATCCTTGCGGTGTCTCTGGGGCCCCAGTGGGATCCACTTCCTGGCACTGCCAGGAAGCCTTTCTGTGAATTGTTTTACCCAAGTTAGATTACCTGTCGAAGCTTTGCAGGCGATGGTAGATCAGGGAGGGCAGAAGAAGGTGGCACTGGACTGTGAGATCATTGATAGTTGGGATCTTGGAACTGCAAAATAGGCTTTTTTGGTCGTTTGAAGCCGCAGCTTCATGCAGGCCTGAGGAATGCTTTGGAATAGCAGTCACCAACCAGTGGTACTGGTGGTCCATAAGAAAATGTTGGTGGTCCGCAGAAAAATTATTGGCATTTTTTACATTGCACTAAATCAGGGGTCCTCCAACTACGGCCCCTGGGATGGATACGTGCAATGAACGCTTGTGTTGCTGCAGAGAGTCTCCCCTTCGGGGTCTTTTTGTAGGGGTCAGAAGGAGGCAGAAATTCCCACTTGGGGTCTGCTTCAGCCTCCTGGTGGGGG